TTCCATTTCTGAACCCGAAAAAAGACGAACAATTAAATTATCCTAAAAACGAATAAAACAGTTTTGTAGAGAAGAAAGAGCTCTTCCAAATGAATTTATACACTTTGCTAAAAAACGAAGTAAATCGTTGTAAAATAACTCTAACGCAAAACTCTACAAACTTATGTTACAACCCAATAAATCCCATACTGGCTGGGCTTGGTACAAATTCCAAAGCGACAGTGGTTCAGCTTAAAGGTGCAGTTCACAATAAAAACAGATTGGAGGTTTCCTCGAACGAACCCACAAGGATAGGACATGGGATATTGGCCGAAAACTGTGGAGATCAAGAGTAGCAACCTGGTTAGTCGACGTACACACCCCAAAGTGGCCGTGTTGCAACTGCCTTGCTAGACGGCACTATATTCAGTGAAACTATAGAGCGCCGACGATCAGTACACTTATGTAGAAGACACCTAAATGGTTACAGGCGGCGACGCATTCACGTGGAACTTGCAATCTTCTTCATAATTTTCTGCAACATTTTCCCTTTTTTTTTGATTTTTCATCACACGTCTTCTTTTACTTTTTCAAGAAAGCAGTTTTCGTGCTGGGAACTACTCATTACTGAAAATGCGCCTATTGGAAAACACTATTTGCCATTTCTGACCTTTTGGAACAGCTCTTTGTGCGGCAGCTGACCAATCTCGTCCACTCCCTTTCTTTAGCTTTTTTAAAGGCCTTATACTTTTTGTCATCTCCCGTTTCTCGCCACACTCGTACTATTCTTCACAATAGCCTCTATCTAGACATAAAATAGATATTCCAGAATTGGACTGATAAACCTTTGAGTCAGCGCTCCCTGGAACGGTCAAAACGAACCATTGAACTCCCACACTTGCCGGTTATCCAACTGTTACCACTGACGCTGTCAGATTGCGACCAGATTAACCAAGAGTAGCCGTCTAGTAATTTAGTAGGCATGTGCTGAAGCCTCGAGAGGTACAGTAGATCGAGCGATGCTGTCACCGCGGTAGGCGTCTGCCACCGTGCTTGTTCCTCTCCATACGCTACGCATGCTTCTCATAAGTTCACATGGAATCGTCTGTGCGAATGTACCGATTATTGCCAACTTTGTAGTGGATAGTAGATGACAACTAAAGGTTGAAAATCGAAACTGATCTTTCTTTCGTGTTACCAGCCTAATAATCTGGCCTTTTTACCGCCAGCTGCACAACTGCCACTCGCGACCCTGACGCTTCAACAAGCGGTTGAAGCTGTCCTCTCAAGAAATGGATACCTTATGCGTGGTATAATAGAAGCGAGGCAATGCAATCAGATTGATAGCATTGTGGTAGGTTATGGATACCATAGGGCAGCTGGTTTCTGATTTTGTGAGCAGCTCTTTTATGGTATCAACTGGATTGCTGTCATGCAGGCAGGCAAACGAGCGTAGTAAGTGGCCAATATGATATGGAGAAAAGTGAATAAATTTAAGTCGCTTCGACTAATAGCGTTTTACTTTATCATATAAGCCATTGCTCGATTTGATGCATTTTTCATGGATTCATTGTGATTTAAGTGGTAGCGGATAAAAACCAGCCATCTTCCTCCTACTTGATTGAACAGACAACTATAATATTAGCACTTCCTTGTTACTTCAAGGTGTAACCCCAACAATAAACACGAACTACCCATGCTCAAAGCTAACGGTAGGAGGAAGATGGCTGGTTTTTACCCGCTACCACTTACATCACAATGATTCCATGAAATTCTGCCTTCGCCTAATTGGTCTTCGCCTGTCTTCATCATAAGCTACATATACATAGGTCGAACATCATTGTTGATAGCGATATACTCATGTATTATATTCGGATTAGGTATCTAATGGAAGCAGGGAGAAGTCTGACAGGGTCTCTGGTGATGTTTCTCTAGTCTTGTGAGAACAGAGAGTAGCTTCGGGTTGGGCTCACGCGAATTGCGCTCAAAAAATAGGACGGAAGAAAAAATTGCTGGGAACTCTTTTCTGAAGATGTTAACATAAGCCAGTCAGACAGTTTTTAGTTGGTCGACTTTTCGAGAATCTCGTCTGGGATATTGTTGGGACGAATTAACCCTAGAGAGCATTCCGATATGGCTTTCTATTTTCAGCATGATCGCCGAGTAGCTAGAGCTCGCTATATACGGTCATGGAGAGCACAAATGGATTCGGAGTTAGAGCATGAGCGCAAAGATGAATTTGAGGAGGATACGATAAGTGATAAAGCTGAGCAAAAGTCGGCCATATCACAAGCAAGTGAGCAGAAACAAAATGCTGGGAATTCTCAAAAGCTCAATCTGGAGCCGATAGCTAGCACTGATGGGCCACTGCAATCAAAGCAAGAGAGCTTCGACTCTGCGAGGAAAATGAGCGTGAACAAGGACGCGAGATTGCCGTATCAAGGCCTTCGCAACGGTGAAGGCGGTCGCACTTCGGCTGGTAGAGGAGCTTCAAACCGATGGAGGAAAACTCCAAGGCAAAAACCTGTCTCCTTATCAACTACTGTGAGTGCGAGGGCATCAAATTCATCCGAGAAGGAGGAGTCCATTGCAAATCCGTCACAAGTCAATGAACCACTTCTCGGAAGTCAAACAATAAGCAACTGAGCGTTGCGTTCTAACTTCTTTTCTTGATATTGATGATGCTCATGATATTTCTACCAATGCCACACTTAAATCGGGAACCTTAATTTGCTGATCGTGTAGCAATGAATAAAGTTGGAGTCAAGAACTACCCTTGATGATTTTTTCAAATGAAGTTCTTTTTGTTTTGGAGCAATAGTAATTTCTGAAAGACTCTACGCAAAAA